GCGTGTACATTACACAACTGTGAACTGATTGATTAGGTACCCCTCGCGCGAGGATATTTTTGTTATGTAATTAGCATTTAGCGTTTTTAAGATTCAATGTATATTAAATATGTTTTAAATGTGAATGAACTTTACATTCGTTGACTTTTACATATTACTGCTAACTAATAAAATATGAAAGAAATATCTGATATAATAGTTATATTTTTTGTTTCTTGCAGGTCTTATTCATTGAGGGAGCTACGAGGGATGTACGAACCATACTAAGTTTTAAATTATTTATTATTATTTATTTAGAATATAATGTGATGAATGATGTAAGCTTGCACAGATTGTTTTGTACGAGTATAACTTTAAAAAATGTATTTTCTTGCGTTAAAATAATAAACTAAATTATTCTTTATTATATTTGTTTATTTATTCATCATCTACACCAAACTATGGTTTGATTTTACTGAGATGAAGAACCTCGTGTAAAATGAATAGTTTATCGTTATTTTAGAGAAGCAACCTTGCTCTAATTCAGAAATCATCACAGGTAATCCCCTCGAGAGCTTCTCGTTTACTATAACGAAATGAACAAAGTGTAAAGCTATTAACTTGCTTTATATTTACTGCATGTTATATACCTACTATGTACTCCGTAGCTTCGAGCCTTTACTCGTGTATGTATATATATAATTATATACGTACTCCTCTCATTAGGTTCATACCCAATTACAGTGTTAGTTTTATAACTAGCGACTCGATGTTCTTGTTATAATGTAAATAGTTCCCAAAAGGTTTTCAGTAAATTAAAAATGACCCTGTATATTATAAATGACGCGTTATCCATAGGTGTACCACGAACATCATGTTTAGAGGTTACTCATCTTGTGGGCGTTATCAGGGCTCAAATAATAAAGTATTCAATGCTCAATACATAATTCAATCAGGGAAATCACAATGCTATAAACTAGTTGAAACGATAATTCTAATAATTTAGAGCCTGCGGGTTCAAAAGCTCTGATCAGACTTTCAGTATATATATATATATATATATATATATATATATATATATATATATATATATATATATATATATATATATATCAAAGCATAACTTTCCAAATGATCTTTCAAAATCAATCAACGTTACTAAACCACGTATCTCCACTGAATGTCTTATGATTATGTCTCGACCCCGCTCGAGACATAGTCTCTGCTCTAAATTCAAAATAAATTTAAAAGAAATAAAAAGTAAACTAAATAACAAAGTGACTTTAAACAATAATAAGGTTTCATAGCAGAAAAAGGTAACTAAATCCTCCTCCGTCACGGCCATTCTGCTGTTCACACGCCCTCGGGTGATCTTGTGGGGCATTCACGACCGCTATTTCCTCTACCACGGCCGTCCTGATATTCACGCGCCCTCGTGTGATGTTGAAAATCGAGCTTAATCGTCATCTATAGAAAGAAATGCAAATTTTTAGAAAACATAGTTTGGCCAATCCTGACCAAATAATATTATGATGACGGTGGCCAATCTCACTGAGACTAACCATCAGTGCAGACATTATATTGCAAAAGTGTACGTACGGACAGACACCAGTTCACTCCCTATTACTTGACTCAAATTCCGATGTACGTAATATCAACATGTGTATTGGCTCCTCTTTTAGCCTTAGATGTTATCAATAAACAGCGATTCACATCATGCTTCATTCATTCTCCCTAACAAGTTTTATGTAGGACAAATTTCTCAAAACTTAATTTTGAAACTGCCTGAAACCTAAAAAAACTATACATGCGAGGTTATCATTGAGTACAGAAGTAAGTGTCTCGTCTATCAGTAAAGTCAAGTCGGTGCCCCACAGGCGACTACTCCGGCGACTCTCGCCACTGAAACTACATATTTTACACATAGGCTTGTCAATGTTACATAACCTCGTCAATTCAGTCACCCTAACTTGTACTACGTAGGTTCATTAATGTTAAGTTGCTAGATATTATTTGAAATAACTACAATCACAAACGTATAATATACATATGTATAAAAAAGTAGGTACCTAAGTATTATAAAAAATAAATAAAAATATATAGGTACCTATCCCTTACTTCAGAAATGATTGATTTTCCATCCAATCTTCCACCCACCCCCCTTTTCAATCCCTTATATATGATATGTTTTTCGGGATGAAAACTATCCTATGTCATTCCCAGGGTCTCAAAATATTTCCATACCAAATTTCATCTAAATTGTTTCAGCGGATTAAGCGTGAAAAAGTGACATACTGACACACAAACGGAGTTATTTTGAGAGACACACGCTTATAATGATTTAAACTTATGGATTAAAAATGTATGAAGTACGTGTTCTTTATAATCGAATCAGATCTTAGAAGTTCTAAATTAATTAAATATTTTTGAAGAGAAACCGAAAAACCGTCATGCCCATGACACTTGCATCACTCATGCGTCACGGGATCGCTTAGAGTAAGCGATAGACGTTTTAGTTACCATAACGCCATAATAACAAGTATACCAACATACAATACAATACAAGCATCGACAAATAATAGCATAATAATCGAAGAAATAAATAATGAAATACTACTTAAATTGTGTTTATTTTTCTTATGTAAATCCTTCGATTCTTCAATTTCTTATGTAAATATTATTCCTAAATCCTTTGGATACTCACGTATCTCACTTTTAACCTCATTCTCTGTATCCTATCCTTTATTATTAATTTATTATCCTTACAGATTTGACATATATATAACCAATGAAGTTTCACTTGTAACACGTGTCCCTACTCTGTACACACGCACTTTTTTATCGTCAAAATATAACAATCCTCAATTAAGTTATTTATAAAAATGTTTTCTTAAATCTTAAATTATAAAGATCGTAATGCTATCAATCCAAATTAAATAATTTCAAATTAAAATTTATTTAAAACTAAGTATTAATAAATATATGAATATTTCGAAAAATAAATTACATAGAAATAGATATAAAAATACTTAATACTTTCTTAGATTTACGCGAATACTTGACATTTTAAATAAAACTATCTTTTCGGATTTTTTCGCGAATTTATTTTTATTTTTGGTTCCTGACGTTTCGAATGCTTTACAGCAATCATCTTTACAAGTCTCTCCCGTGACGTGACCATGATTGCTGTAAAGCATTCGAAATGTCGGGAACCAAAAATCCAAATAAATCCGCGAAAAAATCCGAAAAGATAGTTTTATTTAAAATAAAAATACTTTTTTAAATGAGCGCTGGAAACATATCAAATGATTATTGTAAAAAAAATATTTACTTGAAATATTTTATTATACATAAATATAATTTATTTTCACAAAAAAAAAATTGGCATCCCTGTATTATTATTTATTTGATTGAAGTATATAATATTATGAATCATTACATTTGATTGAAATTTAAACTTTATCTTAACACCTGAATAATAAAATGTTGTTTTCCTTTTTATAAAATATTTTTTTAGTAAAACTACAACAACTCTTTTTAGAATTATTTATTAAAATTATAATGTACCTACTTCGGTGCCATTTACCTTTTCTTTCAAATGATTGAATATTTTTTGTGAGTAGTAGGTATGTTATACATAATCTATACATATTATAAAACTGTAGAGGTCGAATATTTGTATAAAGAAAAAAATCCTAAAAACCGAGTCAGGGGGATGTTAGAAAAGAAATAGAACAAATCCAGATTACCTTCAAATTTTTAAAAAACTATAGTAACTTATACAGCTTAGTTCATAACAACTTATGCTCCTAATTTAGTAAAATTTGGCATGCTGATACCTTATATTGCCGGTCAAACGACAGATTACTTTTTATCCCGGAAAAATGAAAGGTTCTCGTGGGATAGATCTTTGTGTTTTTCTAGAGGCGAAACCGAACGAAGCGAGTGTGAGCCGCTAGTTGTTAATATTTGTGGATGTGGATTATTTCATATGTTTGTTCATTCTGTTCTGTTTGTAACTCCTTTATTTACGCTGTAACGGCTGAACTAATTTAGATGAATAGATACTCGTAGATAGATCATGAATAAGGCGTGGGGTACGTACACCTCTAGGTAAATTTCTATGAAATTAATTAAAATTCTAAGAAATCTATTGTTAACTGACACGCCGGCGTGTCCGCTGTCGTGGAGGGATTAATAATATGAAAGGCAAGGATTCTGTTAATTGATTGAATTAATATTAATTGTAGTAGGTACTTATTTAAAATATGTAAATATATTATGTAAATGACATGCATTCACTGATTATGATGAAAGGCCTCAAATTAGATTCGCACTAAATGCAGCAATGTAATGTGATCTGGTGCAAGGTGATGCATTTAAATGTTAATAAATATATTCCATCGTTATGCTTTTCTTTGTAAAGACTAACTATTATATGACACAGTAAAGAAATAAAAGTAAAAATGATCGATGTAACCGTCTGCAGCGTGGAAAGTAACAAGTTCTTGTCAAATATTGTATTTCATAGTATTTCTAAGACAAAACAAAGTTATTTTTGTAGCCAAACGCTTGGTACCAAAAATATTTTATATCCCAAAAACTACTCAACGTATCTTTTTTTAAATAATTTTCGTTCAAAGGAACTCAACTATTTCTTTATTTTCACAATTTTCCACCCACAAGTACTTCTATCTTCACTTATATGTATGAAATACTACCCTTTTTTGTTTTTCGTAATTTGACTGCTGAATTGTCTAGCGGGTCACATAAGACACATAACTGTAACAAACGGATAGACGGACACCACAAAATTATAAGTCGTTTTTACCTCCAGGCTAAGAAACCTTAAAAACCATCGACGAAGCCGGAGCTGGCTGCGAATGATATTTTGTAATATCAATTTTACAGTTTGTATTACAATCACACGTCTAATGTCTCAGACAAAGGGTATAGCTACATGCGGTATATAAGGCGGGCTTGAGCTGCCGCACTACAGCGGTGAGCAGTTAGACGCCGAGATGTCGTGTCGCCTCGAGCCAGGCTTGTCTTCTCTTGCTCTTCTTATTTTCACAATATTATTGGTAAGAAAAACTTTAGTTAAACTCTACGATATAAAAAAACACCTATACGTTTTTAAATATGTCAGTTTATTTGAACATGCTAAATTATATAACAACCAGTTGAAAAAATATATTTCCATTCTATAAACAAGGGAAGCTCCTACACAAATAAACTACGTGAGCAGAGCCGAAAGCAAAAGCTAGTATAAAACAAATTAGATTGCTTAGCAATAATTAATAATTGTGCTTATTTTAATTACAAATATACATATATTACGTTCAGTTTATATTCTGTATTAATTTATTTATAACGATCCTTCATCGTGTTTGAATGACACTAAAACTTAAAACATCCATTATCATAGAGTAACAAACAATAAGAATCATATAAATAGAGACGATTGATTGACCACACTCTCTCTCTCTCTCTCTCTCTCTCTCTCTCTCTCTCTATAAAAATAAATTATTACAATATTTATATTGTTAACTATAGTATTCTTTGCACAGATTCTATCAAATGCAATAAGTTTAAAGTTGTACGAGTGTGTAGTGAGTACGAGTGTGTTGCGCTTTATTTAAGTCACAACTTTCAATACCTAAAGTTTGAATTGAGCCAAAGCTTTTTAATCTCTATTTTGTTTCAGATGAGTTCAAATGTTAATTGTCAGTAAGTATTATAAGGAGACTTTTAAAACAAAACATATCTCTCGAGAAGTTTTGAATTAATAACTCTCTTAAAGTTATTTCTTAGCAACTATATCAGTTTGAAACAATAGTATGTATTATAAATAGACTCTAAGATGAAATAAGCTGTAATAGTTTAGAGTCCTGACCTCGTTTTTCTTTGTACAAAATATCAAATCAATGTTAAACAGCTAGTACTAGCACTAATGGCTGCGCTTGCGTTTTTAATTATAATATTATAAACGTAATCACTGAAGATGAACTTTGTTTAATGTGTATTGAAGAAACACATACACCGTAACTCCAAAAATCCAAAAAAAAGGCTTAGTAAAGTCTACTTATGAAAATGGTATTCCTTGCTTTATTCACGATGTCCCCAAGTGTCAAATAGTACGAGTAGATGTGGGATATACATCAGGTATGATCTATCTGAGTATTAAACATCCAAATCTATCTAGCCATTTTTGTGATAATGAGTATGAAACATACACCCATAATAAGTTCAATAATACAAGACTTTCAGAATTATAATAGAAGTATAATAGATCCCATAATGCATAACAAATTTCAGAATAAACGGGACGATTGAGTTGTCGTCTATAATCCTGGGCCATTTGCAGCACACTCTCGACAGTCTCACCGGCTTCGCGCGCATCGCCGAGATGCTGGGCACTGCCGGTGAGTCAGCCACCGTTCAGCAACGCAATACCTATGTAACTTTCATTCTTAGGGTTCCGTAGCAAAAAAATGAAACCCTTTTCGTGATGTCCGTCTGTCTGAATGACGCAGCCATTATATTGGAAGGTATATAGGCGTGATATTTTAAATACTATGAGACACAAACTTATTTTTGCGATCGATACAACTTTTACTTTTACGAAAACGTTTAACTTCTACCTCTTTTATCTTTTCAATTTTTTTTTTAATATATAGCCCCTTATATCCTCTTCTTTTTATAAATATAACTTGTAACTGTTCCTCCAAGTGTACCGTCCCTATACTAATCAACAGTCATATTTTATATATAAACTAGCGGACCCGACAGACGTTGTCCTGTCTACACGTCTTTAATTTGAAAATTTCAAACTTTTTTTAATAATTTTTTTGATTAAAATTATTATTCAAATTGTGAATCTAAACCATTCCCAGATCCCCTTGAACATACACAAAAAATTTCATCAAAATCGGTCCAGTCGTTTGAGAGAAGTTCAGTGACATACACACTCACAGAAGAATTATATATATAAAGATATTTTTATTTAATTTTCCTATGGGATTGAAATATGGAGCAAAAAGTACTTACATACATTTGGTGGTTGTTGAAGATGTGAGAATAAACACAAATAAAACATTATGTTTCGTCACTAATAAAATTATAATGTAAAAGTCGATACACGGAAAAACAGTACAGAAGGGGAAAGTTTAGGGAGATACACAATAACACAAAGAGTTACATAACAAACACAAGAAGTCCACATACAATAACTCACTAAAACGTTTAAATTATATTAATCTAATGTAAATATTAATAAAAATGTCAGTTAACAATAGATTTCTTAGAATTTTAATTCATTCCTTAGAAATTTACCTGGAGGTGTACAAGCAATTCGCATCAAGTGACAAAGTATCGACTGTTTGCTTATAAAAAATCACAAGTGGCTAGTAGGTTTTTCACCTAATTCCGATCTTCCGCATACTACGGGGTTTCGCGCGGCTATGCTTGTGGATTTAATAATATGAATAATTAATAAATATAAATAATTAAGTGTACGTGTTGTATGTATGTATGTAATATAAATACGTAAATTAAACATTAAATAAAATATAAATATCTATTATTAAATGAAAAGTTTAATATATAAATATAATAAATTAAATATATTATGGTATAAGTCACCTACAATACTTACGAGTATTAAGTAATAAGTATCATTCAATTAGTGTTATTTGACCTTAAATATATAAAAAGCATGAAATATTTTTCTATCCGCAGGTGTGAGCGAAATGACAGGGTAAATGTTGGTGTCATTCAATGAAATGGGTAATTTAAGAATTTTCGGCAGAGAAAATGTATCATGTATGTAATTAAATAAATAAAAAAATTCTATTTGTTTATCTTATTTACCAATATTTCTATTTAGTCCACAACATTTATACAATATAATGCTTAATCCAAATAAAATGTACAAGATACATTTGAAGAGAGTACAAATATTATATAATTTGAGGATTTCATTATAACGCAATCTATGAAGAATTATGCATCACTTAATAATTGAAAGTACGCAAATTTGATTTAAGACCACATTATTTTATTTTCGTTCATTATGAGTGTATTTTAAAACTTGCGTACACTTACTTTTTCAGTATTTAAATATTCTTTTTTTTGTTTTTATTATTAATTTTACTTATATACCTATCTATATCTAAACAATAATAATAATAAGTTCTTTATTTCAAAAAGGTAGTAAGTACATCCAGATATTTGCTTTAACACTAACTAAATCTAATTTGGTACATACAAATATTTAAAACATAGCATCTGCAGCCGAACTAGGAGACCTGTGCATCAGCTGTCAGCGCCATATCCCCACGGATAGGCGACATAAATATTACCAAAAAAATAAAGAATTACATATCAACTAAAGATATTAATTAATATTACTAAATATGTCATTCCTCTCTCTTAAGATGTGTAATGCTCTATACAAATAAACGAACAATAAAAAGCGCAGGCTTTATCTATACGAATATTATAAAGAGGTAAACTTTGTGATATTGTGAGTTTGTGATGTTGTAAAAAGCACTGGAGGGATTTTGATTTTTGGTATGTTGATAGCTGGTTATCCGGTCAACCAACGACGATCGATTATATATATATATATATTGTTTTTTTTTTTTTTAAGTCGATTGGTTTCGTTTTAGTTAGGTTTGGGATAGATTTGGGCAAGGTTTGGGCTAGGTTTGGGCTAATTTTGGGTTAGGTTTGGCGAAAAATATTCCAATGAGTTATTAGATATTATTACTTCATGTATATCAATTTACACAACGACGATCGATTATATATATTGTTTTTTTTTTTGGTTTGGGTTAGGTTTGGCGAAAAATATTCCAATGAGTTATTAGATATTATTACTTCATGTATATCAATTTACATAACGACGATCGATTATATATATATTGTTTTTTTTTTTTGGTTTGGGTTAGGTTTGGCGAAAAATATTCCAATGAGTTATTAGATATTATTACTTCATGTATATCAATTTACACAACGACGATCGATTATATATATATATTGTTTTTTTTTTTTGGTTTGGGTAAGGTTTGGCAAAAAATATTCCAATGAGTTATTAGATATTATTACTTCATGTATATCAATTTACGCAACGACGATCGATTATATATATATATATTGTTTTTTTTTGGTTTGGGTTAGGTTTGGCGAAAAATATTCCAATGAGTTATTAGATATTATTACTTCATGTATATCAATTTACACACGACGATCGATTATATATATATTGTTTTTTTTTTTTTTGGGTTAGGTTTGGCGAAAAATATTCCAATGAGTTATTAGATATTATTACTTCATGTATATCAATTTACACAACGACGATCGATTATATATATATTGTTTTTTTTTTTGGTTTGGGTAAGGTTTGGCGAAAAATATTCCAATGAGTTATTAGATATTATTACTTCATGTATATCAATTTACACAACGACGATCGATTATATATATATTGTTTTTTTTTTGGTTTGGGTAAGGTTTGGCGAAAAATATTCCAATGAGTTATTAGATATTATTACTTCATGTATATCAATTTACACAACGACGATCGATTATATATATATATTGTTTTTTTTTTTTGGTTTGGGTTAGGTTTGGCGAAAAATATTCCAATGAGTTATTATTTTTTTTTTTCTGTTCTAATACCTCTGACATAATCAGAGACTTTGTTTACATATCATCTTTATTGACTTGTATTTTGTGCCAGGATATAAATGTATTTCTGTACATTTGATATTACTTAAAAAATATTATACTTAACTTTTCTTTAATCATATCAACTTACAACTAATAGCTCTTATGAACTAATAACTCGTATCGACTATTACTTATAATTCTCAAAATGTTTTTTTTTTTTAATAATAAAACTAATCAATCAATCAATCAACTAAACTAAACATTTTGTATTCTATTTATTTTGATTTACTGTTATTTTTACTAATTTTTTACAATATTCCAAAAACTTATCTCTAATTGTATTGTCCTGTAATATTTTATTCAAGTTTTCCTCCTTTACATCAGAATTTATTTCTAACTCCAAATTTAGTCTCTCTCTCAGGTACTTGGGGCAGCTAGTTATTATGTGTAAAGAAGTTTGGTCCACATCCGGGTCGCAGTCGCACGACGGGCTGTCCTTGCACTTGAATCTATTCAAGTAAAAGGAGAACCCGCCGTGTCCGGTCATCAATTGGGTTATCAACGGGTCCGTTTTTATTTCTTTTAATATTGGGTAGGCGGTTATTGCATCCGGGAAAAATACTTTGGTGGTGGCCGCTGTTTCACCACTTTTATACCTCTGGTTCCATTCGTCAAGCGACTCCAATCGGATTTGTCGCTTAACGAATGAGACTGGGCATTTGCTATAATTAGATTTAGTTTTGAGGTTCGTTGCCGCTTTTGCCATAATATCGGCGCGCTCATTTCCTTCTATCCCTGCGTGGGCCTTAATCCAAAAAAGACGGAGCCGTCCTCCTCCCTCCGTTATTCTCTTGATATTTGTCCTTGTTTCTACGGCCAGAGGATGTAGGGATGTGGTGTTTTTTACAGTTTCTAAGGCCGATAGGGAATCGCAGTACACATTAGTTTCTTCGGCGCCTCTCTTTATTGCCTGTTCAGTGGCTTCCTTTAGCGCTAGAAGTTCTGCCTGGTAGACGGTGCAGTACTGATCCAATTCAAGTTTTCGGGTTCTTATTTCCGTGCCATTTTCCCACAGAGACAATGCCGCGCCTACTTTCCCCTCCAACTTACTGCCATCTGTATAGATATTTAGGCCTGTGGTGTTGTATTGGTTCAGTTCTGCCTCGTCCCCCAGGCATGTGAACTGTAATTCTTCATATTCCGCCGGGTGATTACAGCTTCCGAAGGGCATCTGCGTCTCGATTTCCCTATCGCCTACTATTCTCGTGGAATCCAATGAGTTATTAGATATTATTACTTCATGTATATCAATTTACACAACGACGATCGATTATATATATATTGTTTTTTTTTTTGGTTTGGGTTAGGTTTGGCGAAAAACATTCCAATGAGTTATTAGATATTATTACTTCATGTATATCAATTTACACAACGACGATCGATTATATATATATTGTTTTTTTTTTGGTTTGGGTTAGGTTTGGCGAAAAATATTCCAATGAGTTATTAGATATTATTACTTCATGTATATCAATTTACACAACGACGATCGATTATATATATATTGTTTTTTTTTTGGTTTGGGTTAGGTTTGGTGAAAAACATTCCAATGAGTTATTAGATATTATTACTTCATGTATATCAATTTACACAACGACGATCGATTATATATATATTGTTTTTTTTTTGGTTTGGGTTAGGTTTGCCGAAAAATAATCCAATGAGTTATTAGATATTATTACTTCATGTATATCAATTTTCACAACGACGATCGATTATATATATATTGTTTTTTTTTATGGTTTGGGTTAGGTTTGGCGAAAAATATTCCAATGAGTTATTAGATATTATTACTTCATGTATATCAATTTACACAACGACGATCGATTATATATATATATATTGTTTTTTTTTTGGTTTGGGTTAGGTTTGGCGAAAAATATTCCAATGAGTTATTAGATATTATTACTTCATGTATATCAATTTACACAACGACGATCAATTATATATATATTGTTTTTTTTTTTTTGGTTTGGGTTAGGTTTGGCGAAAAATATTTCAATGAGTTTTTAGATATTATTACTTCATGTATATCAATTTACACAACGACGATCGATTATATATATATTGTTTTTTTTTGTTTGGGTTAGGTTTGGCGAAAAATATTCCAATGAGTTATTAGATCTTATTACTTCATGTATATCAATTTACACAACGACGATCGATTATATATATATATTGTTTTTTTTTTGGTTTGGGTTAGGTTTGGCGAAAAATATTCTAATGAGTTATTAGATATTATTACTTCATGTATATCAATTTACACAACGACGATCGATTATATATATATTGTTTTTTTTTTGGTTTGGGTTAGGTTTGGCGAAAAATATTCCAATGAGTTATTAGATATTATAACTTCATGTATATCAATTTACACAACGACGATCGATTATATATATTGTTTTTTTTTTTGGTTTGGGTTAGGTTTGGCGAAAAATATTCCAATGAGTTATTAGATATTATTACTTCATGTATATCAATTTACACAACGACGATCGATTATATTTATATTGTTTTTTTTTTTTGGTTTGGGTTAGGTTTGGCGAAAAATATTCCAATGAGTTATTAGATATTATTACTTCATGTATATCAATTTACACAACGACGATCGATTATATATATATTGTTTTCTTTTTTTGGTTTGGGTTAGGTTTGGCGAAAAATATTCCAATGAGTTATTAGATATTATAACTTCATGTATATCAATTTACACAACGACGATCGATTATATATATATTGTTTTTTTTTTTGGTTTGGGTTAGGTTTGGCGAAAAATATTCCAATGAGTTATTAGATATTATTACTTCATGTATATCAATTTACACAACGACGATCGATTATATATATATTGTTTTTTTTTTGGTTTGGGTTAGGTTTGGCGAAAAATATTCCAATCAGTTATTAGATATTATTACTTCATGTATATATCAATTTACACAACGACGATCGATTATATATATATTGTTTTTTTTTTGGTTTGTGTTAGGTTTGGCGAAAAATATTCCAATGAGTTATAAGATATTAT